TAAGGGGTCGTGGCACCATTTTGGGACTTCCAGCGACGGTTGTGCCATTAGATACATTAAGCGCTCACCTGGTAAAGTGACACAGTGGCACTTGAGTGACCACCAGTGTCCCTCTGACAAAATCAAGTCGTAAAAATCGGGAAAGTCTTAACTGTTCTTGGTTGATTAGCCCGTCCGTCTGACGCCTGTCGTGTCAAAGGTACGCACCGAGAGTTCAGGTCGCGCGCAACGCATAGAAAGGTTGGTGGGCGTCTAGCCTCCAAATCAGGCTCCGCCACGGGTCGCCATTCGGCTCATTACCTCCGGGTATGGAAGTACTGTTTTGGGTGGCTGAACTGTGAAGTTTGTTTGCTTGTCCGGGCAGAGTGGGTGGGGAAGATTGACAGAATTATCATGTTTTAGCTTTGGAGACTTGTTTCACATAGACTAACACTTCAAATGTTTCAAGACCATACATGAACGACTTGAGTGAAAAAGGTTTTAAATTTGATTAAAATTAAAACTATACAATGATAGGGAATTTGGCATTTCTACTCACAACCTACATAGCTTTCCAACATCTACGTTAACCTTGTGAACTATTACAGATGTCGATATTCTGATCAGAACCAACGAGAGCTTAACCGTCCACATCCAAATCGCATCTTGATTCAGAAGTACAACTTGTATTTTCTTTTAAGCGTTTTTCCAATAACAAAACTTCATAAGCAGGACAAAATGATAATCCTGGATTTTCCTTCTTAAGATTCTGACCATTCTGAGGTCGCAAGACATCGCTCTTAGCTTGTCCACCACATGGGGAATAGCTACCCAGGCAGAATGATGCCCAAGTGATTGTCTACTAGCAGGAGGTCGACTCCTACACAATTCTTGCCTGTTGTTAACCCGATGTACGAGTAACAAGCCGAAAGTTTTGTTCCACGACTTTTTATCGACCGACAACAAATCAGGTGGTTTGGACACCTGGTAAGGATGCCACCACAAAAAAAGTACCACACACAACATACAACTACAGAGAGTCTGGATCCAAGGCCAGGGGACGTCCCAGGAAGACGTGGATAGAGAGTGTGAAGGACAACCTGACTAGGTACGGCATGCCGAACAACAGCCTCCAGACTAGCCGTCGGCCGCCAACTGTCCCTCCCCACGACACCCCAGACGGTAGAAGTGGACGCGGATGAAGTAAAGTAAGTAGGTAAGACACATGATCCTCTGCGTTTAACGTAGTCTTTGCAGAGACTGTACTTTTCGTCCTTTGTAACAATACGACTTTTCCGTCCCTATTCGCTTGTAGCTGACACTGGTATCTTCTTCAAGCGATTGCACGTGACATAATTGCTCAGGTGAGCGGAGAGGAAAGTAGAACAAACGCAGGTGTACAAGGTGACGGTTCAAGGTGACGGGCTGTAGAAAGGGTACTAGATTGGAAAGAACACCGATATTAATAGTTTTTTTACGAGCCAGCAAGCGTGAAAGTCGAATTGGGCAATTGAAATTAACACTTAGTCCAGGACAAAGAAAAGAATATAGGTGCACGAATTTAGGATGATGGTCGTAGGGCCTGGATGAAACATTTTTAAGGTTTGACGACGTACTGCACGTTTTCTCTAAAGAAGCAAAAATTGAGATTTCGTGACATTTGAATGAGATGTGTGAGTGTATGAGGTAGCTAGGCCTCAATGTTTTTGTGTAAAATGGTCTTTGGATTATGATTGATGGTAGCCGCAAAGGTTATCCCACAGTGACTTGTTTCTTGTCCCTTGTGGAAAGGCGTTACACAGAATAACACAGAAGCGATGCCACATAATTTGGGCATAACATCTTTTATTCCAAACGTCACAGTCAAAATATGACTTATCCAACATATACAGTCTTTAAAAGCAAGGACCCATATGAAAAAATGTATATCAATAGATATATCTGTCAAAGACGCATCTATTTTGTATATAATTTTGATAAAAGTTAGACACGGTAGAGGCGTTGTGTATGGTTTTATCCAATGGCAGCGGGGTGAAAAAAAACCGAAAAAGAAGAGAAAGAAGGATAGAATAGATACTTCTCGTTCTGTGGTCTGTCAGTGAACAGTTGATGGTTCCGAATGTCCCACATATATCTTCCATGCGTCATTAGGTATATAGATGGGACATCATCATTACCCCAGATTACATACATACGGTATTCATGGAATAATGAAAAACCTTGGGCGTATTGTGTGAGGCTATAGCCTCGGACAAAGGCGCAACAATGCTAGTTCTTGACATGGTCAAGGACAGGATGGTTATTACACATGTCTCTTATCACAAGCCTGGGGGTTGAGATCGTTTTATCTTATTTCATTCTTTGTTTCAGACCAAAGGCCCATATAAAAAATGACAAATACAACTTGTTGTCGTTTATAGATACAACTTACAGATGATACGACTTTTAAAAATCTCAAAATTGTGTCAAGATTGAACGTAAAATATGTCAAGGTAATTTGCTTAAATGTTTTAAACGTTCTAACATTTTTTCTAACGTTTTTGTTTGTCAAAGGTGGTTTTCACAAATACCTATCAGTTACTATATATAGTTATTACATAAATGAACATACCGACAATAGTTCAATGACGTTACTGGGGTATAAGTTGTATTTAAACTTGGTGAACTTAAAGAGACGAAAGTTTCTAAGCGTAGCACGAGGTTAACGAGTACTACAGAGAATTGTTTCCCCATGGGAGTGAACATAGCTCGCGGTTTGGCCCGAGACTGAACATATCCCGCAGTTTGGCACCATCAGCGCCGAGGCATGACAGGGAGGCTTACGGGAGTGCCGTGATGTGTGTGACCTGGTTAATCTTCTCCTTCGTACTTCCACAAACGCAGCAGGTCTGGAGCGGAGGGAGGTGGTGACGGGCGGGGTACAGACAACAGGTCACCGCCGGGGAACGCAAACACGGGCCGCGGCACGGCAAGGTCAAAGACGCTCGGTTCGGGCCGTAAACAGAGATGTACTTGTTGAGGTACATCAACACACTTGTTGTGTGGCGATGGCTACCAGCTGTTAGGGATCCTGGGTCTCGTTAGCTTGAAGTCTCGGGAAAGGTACAGAAACTGTGAAGCGTCATGTTTCCCGCCTTTGAAAGTTAGGAACTGTTTCCCGCCATGAAGTCAGTGGTAGATATTCTAGAATTCGACGTTACCCGTCCCTTCTTACCGTATTGAACTATCGTTTACACGGCCCACATCTATTCTAGATAATATAACCATCTCTTCTTTCTCTCTTATGTATTTCACCCTTCATTGCCTTCATTCCTCTCCTCTTCTATTCTCTCATTCCCACTTTTCATCTATATACATATCCACCCCTTCCCATAATGCCAATCCATCTTCATCTCTTTCCCCTCTCTTCTTTTCTTTCATCCTCCGCTCATGCCTTCCCCATTACTTCTCTCCGTACACATGTATATGTAGCTCTCCTAAGCGGTGTTCAAGCAGTGGTAGGAATACGGTCCATCGGTCTTCTGCAATATTGCGGAATGTCAAAACTTTGTTCTGCAAATCAGAAATACATTCTGCAAATACACAACAATAAGTCCGAACCTAAACCCATGGCATATATGCATGTTGGAAAACACGCAAAATTACTAAACATCATAATCAGTAGTAAACACAAAAGCTCTCAAAGAATATTGTGCCAACACCATTGAAACTCTAGCCTGTATTTTTCGGTCTGCAAAATTGCAGGTTGCCTAATTTTTTGTCTGCGATATTGAACACGTCTCTGCAGAATGCAGACTGCAGGTGGGTATTTCTAACACAGTCAAGCTATGCTCCACTCACGGTAAGTTGCATGTATGATTGATATCGTGTCATTCTGCATCACAACCATGGTGCAAACATCCATCCGTCATCTGTCTGTAATGAAGTCCCACGGGCAGAGACGTCATCTTCGGACAGGAAAGTCATTTCTTCTCGCCGATAACATATGGCCATGACATGTACCGAGCATCATCCGACCGATATCACAGTCAGAACTCACACCAGGGTGAACAACATACGCGTTTCATGGGCCTCGAAACTTTTCTTCTTATTGTCCCAGCACTGTCCCAAAAATAAATTTCCATTGTCCCGAATTGAGGATGAACTGTCCCAACTTGTTTTTTGTTGTAAGTATTGTATGACTTCAGCTTCAAGTCAACTTTATTTTGCTTATAAATGCTCGATGGATACGTTTAGTTTATGACAACGATTGTACCATGTTGTCTGAAACATTTATGTACATTGTTAATTGGAGACGCAGACATTGCCTTCTTCTGAGAGAAAAGTTTCTCTTTGAGAAAGGAACGGAGTAGATTGTCGAAAGAATACCAGGTATCTCCCACCATCCCTGCTGTCTGTGCATCCACAGCCTTCAGCATATACTAGTACTCAACTAGCTCATCAGTTTTATATAATCCGAATAGATAGAAATAGATAGATAAAGTTGAATTATCAGGAAATTGTGAACAAAATTGGAGTTTCAGATATCAATCGTAATTTTCACTTAACATAAGTTTTGTGTCATCAATCTTAATGAAGAAACGACGTACATGTGCGGTCACGTAGACGTTTTGACACCCCCTTTGGTCCTCATGGTATGCCCCATTTCGTCCATACGTAGACGTAGTATCCGTAGTATCTAGCCAACTTTTGCTCAAAGTCGTCAGTAAAATTCATCAATCAATCAGTCAATCAATCAATCAATCAATCACTTAATCACATGTCATTGGTTTGACAGAAGAATTTAATAAAAACCTTTGACACGGTTTATGAACAAGGTATAGATTCACATATGTATGAACCACTGAGTAGCGAAACGTTTGTGCTAACAACTAATTCACACGTCGATTTAAAGTGTTTCATAGATCTTCGAATGAAATATACTTTTTTATTTTACTCAATACATCATGGAATCAGAGCTGGGAATGAACGTAGATACTGGGATACTAATTTACGCATTGGGCAGTAAAGAAATAGAAATTCCGAATCATCCACTGACTCACAGCGCACATCAATTATTTTATCAACAGAACATCAGTAAAACACGGCTTTCTCTGCCCATTCTGGCCATTTTTGCACAACAATGATGTTCCTGACACCCCATGAAATCGACGGAAAGTCAAAGGTCACCAGATCACGTGCCATCTGAAATGGATTACCCCCTAATCCCCTGTTTTCATGCGAAACCGATGCCGATGGAGACCGAATCAAGACAGCATCGAAATGTTTACTTCTGGGAAACACGCCAGCCAACTTTCGCAGAAAATCTGACAGAAAATTTCCTGGTAGGACGGCGCGGATTGCTTTGTTGGTGACACGGTGCTGATGTAGACATGGACCGCCCGCCATGATCGTCTGCATCCCGCCATCTGACCGACCGGAGAATTGGCAAGATGGCGGCCAGGGATCATCTGCCGTGGGACTCGTCTTTACTAGTGAGTATATTACAGCAGACGTTCTGCGCAACGACTGTAAATCTAGATGTTTATCTAGGGACACTGCCTTAATTCTAAACACACCGGACTGCCTCACGCACAGACGTTTATGATAGCCACGCTTCATAATTTTCCGACATTATTCGCGCATAATGCCCAAAACCATTTATGTCTGTCTGCCTTGACCAATCCTCGCGGTTGTTGTTCTATGACGTCATGAGGAAAACAACCCAGGATTTCAGAACAAGGATTAAGGATGTTATAGGTATAAATGCACAAGCATTTCGATATCAACCACCATGCCTAAACGAACATATTTATGAGAAGGAGGGATGGGAAGGAAGTATGAAAGAATGAAACAAATTTGACAATTCAGAAAAACATTTCGCATTTCTGAACGGCGAATTTTATCATCGTATGGTATAATTTAAGATTTATACTAGTGAGTTAGAAATACAATTTCCTTTTAAACGTGGGAGACTAACTAGGTTGTGACATAAAATACTGTAAATCTAGATCTAGACGTCAAAACAATTTACCGTGTCTGAAACCCAGATGTCCAAGGCTTCTCAAGTGTTTTGGAAACCTGTTCATTGTAACAATTCTTTGTGAAAAAGTAAAGGAAACAGAAACGTTTCCAACCTAATTTATATCGAGCACAAAATTTTATGACAAATAAAACGGTTTCCGCCGATGGATTCTGCATTAAAAGTCAAACACATCTGTTTGTACTTCTTCAGTTCATTAGTACTCCCACGAAATAACTTTGAAGTGATGGGAAAATTTGACCCAACCATAATACACACTCTGTTTCCAATACACATCCCGTGGTATCGTTGATTAAACAATTATGCAAAGAGTGGTGGAGTGTTTAATTGTTATCTACATAATTGGCAGGGGCGGATGGTGGCCAGACTTCAATACACAGTCTTTAATACACATGCCCTGCCTGGCTAAAATCAAGGAGTTTTAATTCTAGTTTTTAAGCTAATTGCTAAAATAAAAGAATCTAGTACACATAAAACAGATTGACCAGACTTATAATATAGTAGACATAAAAATTTGTGCTTTGGAACATACTACTAGTACATCACATGTACATTTAATACACACATGGACAAACAACAAACTGCATTACCTCGTATGTATGTCATGTATGTATGAAAAAAGATCTTCGCATCATGTATTGCTCTCAAGGAAAATTGTACTTCTTGTTCATACTTTCAAAATTGATATAAGCTATAATATACTGTTTATTTTCGAGCGAAAATAAATAAGTATAACACAACCCTAGCTGACAATGGAAATAACATTGATACCAACCTTCTATTAAAAACGTCGTATTGGAACAGAAACTGCACATAGAAAAAGACAATACTAAATCACCGTGGATGTTGCTCATTTCCAAACTTTTATCTATATATAATAGCTTGAATGGGGCCTTCTGATAGCCCGTTAGGGGGGGGGCGTACCTGTAGATATATAAGCTGGATGTTGTGGGCTGTTGGACCTGTCGGTTTTTGGGAGGGTGTTGCCGACCTATGGGGTCTAGCTAACAGGGTAATATACAGATATTTTTGACACATCAAGTACAACGTAAAAAGAACATAAACCCAAATATATGTAGTCTCAGAGTGAAATAGAGGAATAAAAGAATTGTTGAGATGTAGATTATTGATGTAATATGAAATGCCTTTACAGAAAGCTGAACACTTAAGCTAAATCTATATTCGTGTCCAAAATATAGGGTGTAATGGTTAGCATTATGTTAGATTTACTGTAAGTAAGCCTGGCCTACTGCCATGCCCCCCTCCACAATGATCGTCTCATACGGGGAAACTAAATGCGGTGTCCGCGGCGTACTTTAAAAGTAACGTTAGCCTGAGCCATTTGATCCCAGGCTATTGACTAGCAAAACTTACAGAATCCCAGTAAATCTCTAAAATTTCTCCCCAAAGCACAGATGGGCGCATCCGATACACTATAGAGGCGGGACGTTTTCTTAGCGGTTTGAATAAAAGGCATTTACGGGCAAAACCACGTGTTGTGTAACGTTATGTTTATTTTTTTGTTATTATCATTTTCTTCTTTTTTTCAGCAATGGTCGGCGACAGGGAAAGTGCACAATTGAAACTATCGGTAGTAACCAATGTGAAGATAAAGATTACTTACACTGTGACTTACTTCTCAATAGGATTTGCGTTTGATTCTGTTGAAGACTGATTCCCACACAGGTTCCACCTTGGGTTACCCCAAAAGAAGCTTTTCACACGAAGGATTTACGTGGTATTCTAATGGCGGAAATGTAAACTTGTTGAAGTATGTAAGGTGTAGGGTCAACACGGCGTGTGTACAAAGATGTTTGAGGTCTACTTTCTCAACTGTGAAAACATCGCCAAGTGGGTAGCATCCGGGCCGGTTACGGGTCACTGACGTCACAAAGAGCTGTTTTCCCACAACACCCTGCGGAATGCGAGATCCGCCATTTTGTTTCTACAGAACTATGTCAAACCCGGCTTGCTGCAAGTAGACATGTTTTTATAAGCTAGATTAACGGAATTAACGGCTGCTACACTATCATGCTATCTCATAACTAGTCGTAGAATAAAATGTCACACTTCAAAACCGACGACCCGGAGAAAAACGCCGGGCCACCTGTCGTAAACTACAACCTCGCTATTCACCAAGTTCTCAGGAGTAGAATTTACACACACACACATACACGGAGTAGCCATTTTGGGAATTTGGAGGACATTTCCTGGTTCGGTGGTTTTTTAGGGCACAGATGTGATCACATTGTTAGAATCTCAAGAATTTTACCTTATCAATCAACTTTGTTGCAGCTGTCAAATTGACAAAGGAACATCTGATTCACTCATGAATCTTACAAGATGCTATCAAGAAATAATCCCCAATAAGAATTTATAGATGATAAGAATTCATAGACATATTTGAATAGACAAACACAGCTATCAAAGACTTACTATCATCTTACTTACCATCAGCTATCAGAGACAGTAGTTACAACTACAATGAGATGCAATCTTGTACCACCGTGATACGAAACTTTTGACGGCAAACTCCAAATCATAAGACAGACTGCATTTCCGTGATATGAAAAATTGGAAAAATTTGAGAAATATGGGGATATTTTTCAGAACAGTTGGTCGGCTAGTCGCACTGTCGCCCACCGAACAAACTCCTCTGGAAAAATACAGTACTCTCCTTATAGCCGATTTACATGTATTTTTTCCAATCCCTAAGAAATTAAGGCCTGACGGCTTAATATTCAAAACTACGAACCATCTTGAAATATCATAAGCCTAAGGTAGTTGGCAACTTTAGACGTTGTTTTAAGAAATCAAGACTTAAGCTACTTCCACTGCAATGTCGCAAAGAAAAGTCGTTTCTTCAGGCTATTTTCATGTGATGGACAGGTGTGTCCCTTGTCCATTCACACAGGTGCTTAATGCAAGGATAATTGAAAAAATCTATCGTTTGTCTCCTCAAATCTGCTATAATCTTACCTTAAGGCCATGAGATGCAACGTCTTTGTCTAATCGGAAACAACTTCTTTTGTTCATTGATTGTTAGGCAAGAAATAAAAGTAAGTGGAACTTCTCAAATGGAGAGCGAAGATGGACGGCGTCATGCAGTGCTGTATTCCCGAAAACAACTTGTTGCTCTCGAGTGCACTGGACAAGATTACGCCCTTTTCTACCGTAATGACGGTTGGAGTTATTTATTTGAAGCTAAATCGTAACTTGGAAATTATCCAGCCCACCCACCGGCCGTTTTACGGTAGGGAAGATGGCGCAACGGCGCACCGGGACAGAAGATAGCACGGTATTCGTAATCCGGAAGGTCCAATTATCCATTTCTCACAGAAGGGGTCTGTTGGTGATTGGACGTGCTATCAGCGTCTGCAATTTGCACACAAGCGTCCCGTGGCTCCGGCGGAGCAGATTAAGTCGGTAGTTTGTTACCTCCGAACCCCGCGTCGAACGTTAGCCAGGATCGATACGGACTCCCTTGTCGCAGCTCAACAAGAAATTTGGCGGGAAAAATGCTCAGGGACACTCTAATGGCTCCGAAACAGACGTTGTCTACCCAAGGAAGTTAGACTTCGAGAGAGCAGGGAATTTGACTGACTGAAAAATAATTTTAAAACAGCTTTTGCGAATTGTAAGAACAGTCTAAGTCGACTAGGAGAGCGAGAGAAAGATAGAGAAAGCGACAGGAAAACAAAGGGAGGGACAGAACGAGCGGGAGAGAGCGAGAGCGAGAGAGATTCCTCGTCTACAATTTCTATTTTAGAATTCCTTCTTACCCTCAGTCTTAGAAAAAGTAACGGCGTGCTAGTAGTAGTGCATCAACAAAGTTAAGTGTCCTATTTACGCACCGTTGGTCTGCAGGGGCAAAACTATCATTCTTACGCTTATACATTCCTAAAGAGCAGCACAAAAACTAGTTTCAACTCCTCTGCACCACGCTGATAAGAAAACGCGAGGACGTTTCGTCCTGTATAATTGCATTATCATGAAAAGATGCACTAGCTTGGAAATGAACGTCCTCGGTGATATTCTCCAGCCGCAGTTAGATGCAGTAATTTTCACAAATATCGACACTTTGCTACCACTTGATTCATCGCACCCGAAATCGTTGTGGACAGCTACAAGACGAAGTAAACGGCAAATGAGCGTAATTATCAACAGCATCACACGCCCTAAATCCTCCTAAACTCTAATTATGATGCTGCTTTCTGAGCTTGTTTTTTACAGCATATCATAGGAGGATGAAGCGGTAATTGTGGCCTATATGGTTCTTTACGATAACTGTAATATTTTGGCTGGTGACTTTCCCTAGAGAGAAGGATGTGTTGGAAATATATACAAAGCTAGCTACCTGTGTTTGCCTGACCACCGTGCATTCTTGCGGGCTTAGAACACAAATCGACCAATTTGTCCGTCCTGATAAAGTCATGGCTCATTTTGTGTTGACTGATCATATAAAGTATCCCCCTACGAAATTTGAATTGATATCCAAGATTTCATAGTTCTTACGATTATAGGTCTCTAAATAACAATGCTGAGCAATGCAGCAAGCAAGCAGGTAGAAATATCTCTATCATATAGCTACCTATTGAAAAATCTATCTATGAGCGGATATTATCATGCCTGATATTTAATATGAAAAAATAAAAGAAAGACTTGATTTTAGGGATCTGGCAAAAATTCACAAAAATGTGTCACCTCAGCGTATGAGACAAAAAGCCTAGCTGAAACTTGTACGTGTCGATGTTCCGTCCGTAACACAACTATGACTGACCACTTTAGGACCTGTTTCCATAAAGAAGATCCAATAATACGGAGTGTATGATTACATTAAGTCTCTTTATCACCCACCATTATACCTTCTATACAGACTCAGATCAAGGAACACATATTTCACTTTTAATATTGTCATCCCCGCCATACCTACTAGCATTGGGAAAGTGGCGACCATCGCTAACTCAAGTTGAAATGCAAATTTAAGATCTTTTCAATTATGATATCAATTACAAAATTAAGAGGCATGATATAAATGTTGCATTGCCAGTTGTGAAAAAAGGTACGAATTTTAATGACTTTCCGATTTTTTTTTATTTTCTTGTGACAGATCTAGACGCAGAATACATGGATGGAACGTCCAGTTAGTGAGGAGAGGACATCAGCTAACAGCTAACCAGTGCAACACGAAGAACAGGCTGTAAAGGCATCAAATGGTAACTGCATCATTTTATCTCTACATGTAAAGGTGATTGAATAGCTTAAAGATACACTTTTCATATTCATTCTCATATACAAACATATACATATTTGTAGATTTCTGTATATTTTACTAGATTTCTATCAGGAACGATTAACAATATCGACGTTTTTCGTGAAGCAGAAAACCTGTACCAATAGTTGATGCATGAATTAATATATCAAATTGTTATTAATGTAGGTGTGAATGTATAGGGGGTTGCTTTGTATGGACCTTGTTGCTGAGTAACCAACATGCCACAAAAAGTAACGTTAGTCATATCAAACATGTATGTACGTTTATTTTGGATATGCCCATTTTTTGCACATGATGTCGATCCTAAAATAAACAAACATACACAAACTTGCCCTTGATGCCAATCCTACATAACAAAACAAATAAACAAAACTATATGACAGAAAATGAAACTTTTCACTCGCATAATCATGTGTGCAAAACTTGATCTATGACACTGGTTCAATCAAAGCGTAGGACATTGATATTGTGACAAATAGGCACAACGTCGGGACCGAAGGTCTATAATATCCTTCCACACAACAGATTAAAAAACAAAACAAATCTACTATCATTTTTACACCTGACATGGTGAAGTTAAAAGACGGTGGCTGAAGAGATATGATTTATGATGTTCTCTCCCGAGAAGCGAGTACAGACCCGGAGCAGTCTGAGCAAAGTACGACGTTCAGATGAACATGATGGAAAGATGGAGAAGAAGATGGCGTCAGTAGCGCGAGTAGTGCGAGTACCGGCCGCTTTGCCCTGAAGTTACCCATTCATCAGTTCCTCTTCCCTTCATACACAACGCCAACACAATCATCTATGCTTGGCCCGGATTGAATCATTTGTTTCAAGTTCGAAATGAGCGATTTTGAAGGCCTAAGGGGTTTGTACACAATTCCTTGTTCCGTATCTTCCAGAGTAACCTCTAGCCAAGATTTATGTTCTAGCCAGAGGCCTGGCGGACAGAACTCAACACAGAGGTTGTCCGTTTAAACGTGACTGGCATGTAAACAGACCAAGAGGTCGTTTGGAGGCTCTTTTGTTTCCCCACGCAAGCATTTCAGGGTTGAAAGGTTCAGTCAGAAACTCTTAACGACGACGTCCCCGGTCGGTGGGTCTCGCACATTTATCTGGCAGTTATGTCGTTCCAGGGCGGCGAGGATTGTAGTCAGCGCAGGTCACCCAAGTCTGAGTGGCCTGGAAGAGGGGAAAAAAACGTTAAACGCCTAACGCGTCAGTTTCTGAATTCAGACAGCTAGTACACCTCAACAGGATAAGTCCCATTTCTCTCAGCCTATCTCACGGTTCATTTACAAATTAGTGTGAGAGATCCGGGGAACGTTCAAGGTGACTGCAACTTCATTTTATCTCTCCGCTGGGCCAGAAAGTCTTGATTAAAACTTAGCCTACAAAGTGGACTAGGTCAGAAGATGTCTGGTGGAGTGTACAGGGGTCAATGTTGTGAAAGACACGCGTGGGGATTTACAGCACTCATTATCGCAGTTGGAAACCACTTTGGCTTAATCCAAGATGGCCGCCCATCGTGGCGGGGTCACCTGAAATTGTCTACACTTGGTTGACTTACTGGCAACATACTTCGGGTGCTTGTGGTATAAGTTTTGATGTGAAAAAAAGCCCGCCAACTTAGAATTCTGTGAAAACACAAGATGGTGGCTGTTGTTTCCCGGCAAGCTCAGCGCGCGCTGCCGTTTGCGGATGTCCAACAGCTGTCCAAGCTTAGCTGTGCTGTCATGTGGGCCAACTGGCATCTTCGTTACAGACGTCCTCGGAAAGAATACTAGCGGAGTGATTTATGAAGAAATGATTGGAGAAGCTCTGAAAGGATTAGGTTCGACTTAAGGTGGATAAATTCGTAAAGCGAACCTGGATGAAGTGGGTTTAGAAAAGCATTCCTCATGACTTTGACGGCTTGCTGTTGCGGCTGGCGAGGTATGCGATGCCTGGCATAGCTATGCAGCCAGCGATATCCCTATGATCCTTTGCAAATACATGAAATATGATTTCTAGACGGCCAAAATAAATTGATGGATATAGCTTTCACCCGTTCCTGGAATTGCGCTTTATAAGGTACAGGAGAGATTGGATACGGCAAGGGCACGTCCCAATACAACGCTGCCGCTGATTTGAAGGGAACTTGTCCATACAAGAAGGCTAACGGAATTTTCTGCTGACAGAAATAACGATTCTTGACTTTGAAGCTTGCGGCGAGGTTTTTGGACACATCCTGAAATTTGATCTGTTGTTGTCGTGCGAAACTTGTCACCGCCGAATACCGAGTCGACACCTGTCGGCTCCAGAGATGGACGATTCTCTGGGGGTACGCCACAAGATGGACACAAACTGAAGCCACAATTCACCGGCCCGCCACTCAGGGGCTTCCCTTTTCCTCCAAGGCCCTCTTTACCTTTGCCGAAGATTTACACGAGTTGTCAAATCGCAAGAAACACCTTTTGATTAACGTCTACCTGTGCCGTTATCGCAGTAAATCATGTCGTCCCACGACAACATGGCGGCTGACCTTCGGCCCGTTTTGCGGCAGGTTTCCAGGACCCCACGACGCCATAACGAGACGTCCGAGTGCGCACAGTTTGAGATTAAAACGGGATCTCTGACAGGAGCCGTGCAGAGAAAGCATGAATGATGGGCTAATGCCTACTGGATTAGCTGTAAAGTAGCGAGCCCCTGCTAACTGATAACATGAAGAATGAAAAGTGTATCGTATATTGATAGGCAAGTTTTCCTATAACAATATGGAAGTGTCAAGAGTTTCGATTTTCAATACGTTTCTGATACTCTCTGACTGATTAGTTAGGCAAAACATATAGTATTCCCTCAGGTTTCCATATGCACGAATTGAAGTAAACGATGCTAATCGAAGCTACTGCCTATTACCTACTTTCCACGGCTTCTTAAATGGTGGGAAAAGTATGGATTTTGCAGTGAATGTGACAATTGTGAGTTCATAGTGATCAATATGTACCGGTAGGCTGTATACGCCAGAGGGCGCAGCTGCAATGATCAACACGTGTGTGGTTTCCTTACCGGAGTTCAGTTGTGATTCTGTTTGACGTTATCGATTTCTTTCTTCTTAAAACTACGGGCTGTGGTAGAGTCTGAAAGAAACACAAAATGCTTGTTAACGTTAGGAAAACAGGAATTATGAAATGTTACAAGCGCGGCTGATTGCATGTATCATTGTGTAGTCTTTTCTGATCTTATCAATGAGTGCCATCATAAAATGTATCTGTGGGTTTTGTTAAATATCTGATAAATAATGGTAGACTCGTCGCGCATGATTACACATTTAATTTATCAAGCAAAATCTAATCGCAAAATTACAGTTATTGCCTGGAAATTTTACGGCTATTTGGTATTGCCGAAAGGTACGGGAAGAAATTCTAATTTTCTCTATCTGAATATTCAAACAGCAATAATCAACTTCACATCAACACCTGTATAACCGATATTGTTTCCAGAATCCATTGTTTGTAAGGTTAGGATCCTATTGAAAAATTGTAACGTCTCCGTCTATGTATTGGTACAAATTGTGTACATTTTGTGTTCTGAAACCATACAATCATATCAAAGTCTATGTTATGTCACTGATCATATTATCGTGTACGACACTAAAATGCTATTTGAAACCACATTGAGAATATCTCCAAACAAAATAATTGAAAATGTCTAGATGTATACAACTGTGATTCCTAGAATAAATTTTCTGGGCGAAACACTATTTCTAACACCCGAACGGCAGAATAGCTGTCAATGCTTTCTGTACATATGCCATGTAATACGTGTGTTTTATGTTACTTTATATGTGATGACCTCAAAAGCTAGACTTTGCATATGTCTGATAACACCATGTACGATAGAGTCCCCGAGGTTTTAAAAACGTTGTCTCGTCCAAACATCAAGTGTATATAAAAAAACAAAATTACATTTATTTCTGTGGGGTAGTAGCGTCGCAAAATTTATGGGGTCATAAAAAGGTTTTATGGTTATCTTGACCATAAACACTATAGACGTCATGGACTCTGGGCTTTTCTAGTTTTTGTTTGATATTTCACAGGGCTCATCATAAAACGCAAATGGAGAGCATTGTTCGGATTCCCGGAGACTATCGTGTATCCATTGGTGCCATTCCGGGCAGGATCAGACTCCAATCCCCCTTAAGTCTCCGGGAATTCAGCGGCTGTGGAGACGATTTGCAAGGGCTAATCGAACAGGCGGGAGAGATGGAACACAATAATATTTATGACTCCAACCGCAGTCAATGATAAATATATACATTATATCAGAGTCCAGCAGAATCATTCGAAGATACAGAACACAAAAACATTAGGGTATGGTAGAGCAGACACTGAAGTACGCATAGGCATCAGATTATATAGAGAATGTAACCGTACAAGGTATTTCTACATGTAGCACATTACTTGACTGAATTTCTGAATGCAGTTGTTGCTGTTACTCGTGGTATATTTTACAACTATTATTACAAGTGATGGTTAGTTTGTGTTTGTCACCAGGGTTTTGTGTTTTATGATATATCTCTTCCCGGGGGAGTTTGATGAAACCTGATACGAGACAGAGACAAATGCGGTCCCCAGATGATTGACGTGTAAGGTGGAAGTGCTGGTGACAGCTGTTTCGGCCATATCTGATTTTGCACATGACGTAAAACGACCGAATGCCATTTTCTCTGCTATGTCGGGACCGTTGACAGGCGTATCTCCTGACATCACGGCTATCTTGGGCCAATCGCATGTGACGGACAGTCTTGTCTGGCTAATGGATGAACGGCCATAATAACCGTCATAGCCTAGGTCAATCGTATATCATGCCAACATCCCTTGATAAAAGACATTGGCGAAATACTGTTACGCCCCTCTCTAACATACACACACATCAGGCCCAAATCTTGCCACAGGGTAAAACTCGGCCGTATCCCCGACCATTTACAGTCGTTTTATTCGCTTTTAAACATCCAGGCAAGCTTAGGGTGCGCTTAAATGCCGGATAAAGCAGCGCTCTGTGGGGTACGGAACACATCCATTTTCATGCCGGACAACATAAACCCCTCACACTCCACACACGTCAAAGATTACCTAATTCATTAAGTAGCCTTTAGGGCTATTAGGAAGGTGAGCTCGTCCGTTGTACCAAGTAGGCCCCTGAGACTAGTGCAGACAGGTTGAGGGATAGGGAGGGCACACAGAGTTCAGATTCAAGCATGGGACGTGCCGGGAGTTGACACAAAATCTAAAGAAAATGTTCTGAGAGTGGCTGGGAACGGGCGGGGGGTAAATGGGGGCGAGGTTGGAGTTGGAAAGAGGAGCTTGGCAGGGCCATCATTCTCACAGCTGCTGAGGGAAAATGGAGGGTTGGATCAGGCAACTATCGTGTACTCCGCACCACGATAAGGTGGAAACAAATGGGAGGTGAAGAGGTAACTCGCGTGGTTTTGTCAAGATAACTCTTCAAACGCCTTCCAGATGCAGGGGCAGGTCGCTGAGGAATCATCGTGGGTTTGAACAAGGCTTGTTCGCAAAGTAACAAACTGAGCTCTCTGAGATAGGCGGGAGAACTGATGCAGACTGTACTAATGTGGGCTACTGCCGTGCCAAACCTATCGCCGTAGACAGTAACGGCCAAGTCACATTCGTCATACGATATTCATGTTAACTTTTCAAATATAGGCTGTGACAGAAACATGAATTGAGCTAAGGCAGCATTTTCTGTAAAAAGGTTAGCTAGAATAGTACGACAGGTGCACGACGATCCCAAGAGTTTGCGATCGTACGTACGACGACGGTACGACTAACGTGTCCCGCCCCAAACGATGTACTATGAGAGACTAAAACTGTCTGCATCAGTCCGTGTGATACATACAAACTGACGTCTACTCTAAGTCTGTCCGCATCAGGGTCTTGAACTGAGCTAAACTATCCCTCAAGTCGACCCAGGGCCTCCATAGAGCGCCGCAAATCACAATGTAGGGAAGACATAGATGGATGTAGTCGACTATAAACTTTCTACCTTGCGGCGATCGCATGCTTCATTATACGTAATTATATATTATCACACCTTCCTGGCGGAGATAAGTGCCTGCCTCTTCCATCCGTCATCCACGGGACGACAAGATACGGCTCTCCGGCGCGCGTTAATTCCTCAGTACTTAGTCTTACCTGGGGGTAAGGAGCGGGGAAACACACGCACTTCGCATTGTCTTATCTCAGGTAATGGGGAGCGTGATGTTTTATCGTGTTTATTGGGCAATAACTTCCTAGGTTACGGGCAGAGATTACATCGGGGGTAGAAATCATCCAGGACAACTGCATATCTTTTTCCCGGAGAACAAGTTTTGTGCATTTTAGCAGCTAGTTGTAGATGGAGAGTGGTGGTGACAAGGTCGTAGGAGCATCGCACGATCGTAAACCAAGGACATTCTCTGGAAACATGTGGACATCTAGCTGCCTTGTTACGCCAAAGACTGTCTAGGATCCTTCATTTTCAGTTCTTGGTTCTATCACGGTCTGCTTGGAAAGCTCACGATATCGAAATCGTACGACATCCTACGACATGTATGTGGTCGCGATGAAGTGTTGAAATGTAACTCAAAAATTCGAAACACTGGATAACTACCCAATTCTCGTACGTTAGGTTCTTAAAAAATACAAGGTAATTTACTGTATTCTCTGCACGTAAAGTTTACAACCAAAATGATTGAAAAAATTATCCAAACCCTCACGAAATGTTGAAACTATTTTGCTGGAAAAAAAACGCCAGCTACTATGAAATACACAGAAAAAGTCGGAGAAACACATATTCTCTTCCTACGGCCCACGCAATGGTACCAAACCAGGCCAGAAACAAAACTTCGGACTTCAAACCCCCGACAGAATCGTTAATCTGGAATACAAATGCCCCTTCAGTTTTTATTGCCGGATGAAATCCCGAACATACGTCGGTGATTGAGCGCATGGGACTAGATGGAAGGTCCGATAGACGGAAGACATGCGGTGGAGACGATAAGATACTGGTGAAAAGACATGCCGACAGGACCATTACTATCAGCCAAACGCTCGCTGCTGCAACACTGAAAAGGAGGGGAAAATGTATATGAGTGTCAGTGAGGCTGCAGAGCTGTAGGCTGTGTAGTTTTCTGCCATTCTGCCTACATATCTGTCGTCTTCTATACCAGAACTTCCCTCAATGGATAAAAGAACCAAATTCAAAGACCTCGTGATACCATGTACCAAAATGCAACATATTTAACTGTAATTGTATTATGTAATTAATATACACGTTTGCCCTGAATATCCTACTGTTTGTTTCTGAACACCATGAAAAAGTCTCTTGTAGAATATATCATTAGTTTCCTAGAATTTTTGCTTCCACGTTATTGAAGTTCCCATATCACGATCATCGTTTACATGAGTTATATCTTATGTTATTGTCGAGTATCTCATACAGCCAAATACCAATGCAAATGCTGTGGCAGCTGAGCATAGGCACACTGGTGGATCTTTGAGCACAGCATTCTATGATTTATCTATAAAGATATGTTTGTTAATTAATAGCAAGTTAATCAGACCAGGTATGGGTTAGACGCTTCTGATTCCATCACTTTAACATTGTCATCAACATAAAACATTAACAGTGATCAATATGATTTGACTGAAGTTCACAATTTTTTTTATTAGACAAGCCATCTGGAAGTGGATTCCAGTCATTTAAAGCAAATCTCTAAACCAAATTAATGATTTTTTTAAATCATATTTTTTATTAACTTTACCTGTTGCTCATTGCTGTACGCTCTTGGAAAAAGTACCGTGAAAGCAGTCCTCAGTTTTGGTACAAAACAAATCACCCGAAACATAAGGCACTTGTCACAGCTATACGAAGGCCTGATCTTCGTAATGCTCTACACAAAAACCTATCAGTCCAACGGTTTACTGTGCCCGCCCTTGGCACTATCTCTGTGAGATTGGCACAGGCTAATACTGCTCCAGAGTCGAGAAGACACTCTGAAAAGTATCGTTGCTAATCAACTTCAGTGGATCCCAGTACATCATTGCCGCATCAGAAGAAGCTCAAAG